CCATCTTAAAACTCATGCTGGGCAGAATGGACTTAGCTTATTTTTAAAGTGTAGGTTATAGCCTTCAAAGAGATACAAACATTTCCCAAAGCAACAATTCTTTGGTCAATTAAATGCTTAGAATAAAATATACTTTTGAAAGACAAAATTAAGAGGCAAAGGTCACAGAAAAGTGCTAACATAGTTGTTCCTACCTGTTTTTAAATCCTATCTCTGCCATCAAAATGGCCCAAGGCTTATGTTCACAATGAAGTTTGAAATTAACCTCGGGAAACTCTCAGGCCCACACCCTTTAATCTAACGATGTCCTAGGGTCCTCGATGCCATTCAGAATTTTTGCTCATGTCCACTCAAACAGTGCAAATATTTTCAAACCCTCTACAGCTCAGAGAAAAATATCTCCTTCATTCCTATTCCCTTGTCAGTAACACAATGACAATGTAGCTAAGGCAGTTAAGGAGGGCAGAGGGTGTACCCTGTGTGATCTTTTTCCTTTAGTCCTAGCTGGTCTATGAATCTGTGCTAATTTACATAATTGCCTAGTAAGCATGTAACCAATGGGAAAACACACATACATCAACATATACGCACATACATACACACGTGTGAACTATAATAGTTAGAGAAATATGGCACACTCTGCAGGAAATCAGTAAATATCCATTTCATTGAAAATGGCAAAAAATCAGAATTCTTTGTAAGCATTACCACAGGGGTTACCAGCCCTAGGTACACACAGAAGGCGTGCACTGCAAAAGACAAACACATACAGTACATATTTAGAGACACTTTTTAATTGAATTTAGGCCCTAGGCTGGGACCCTAGCTAGTTTACAAGGATGCTCTAGGAAAGACATGATTGTACTATGTGATGATGATAAGTCTATGGCATTTGCTTTCTTTCAGGGAAGCTAAAACGCATCCCCACCCTTCAGAAAAACCCAAGATTGATGATTCAGGAGTTTTGCTGGTTAGAGGTCTTTTCTTTCGGTCCTACTTTTCTCAGCAGTCAAGGAGAGGATAGAACAGCTGTCCTTGAGCCGAGTTTGTAAATCCTACTGGGAAACTAACCCGTGCTGTCAGATGACATGACTTTCACGTTTAAACAGACTAGTTGAATTAAAGACCAACTCCAGACTTGATGTTGCTGAGCTCATCAGCTCCATCTTGCCATCCTGATTGATCGAGGAGATGGGTCTATAGTTAGAGTGGCATAGTACATTGACTGGTTAGTCATTAGAGCACTGCTTTCTCTTTGGAAGGTAACTTCTTGCTTGGCTAGTTTATGGAAGCTAAGGAGTGACGTCAAGATGTTGTCTGGCCAGAATTTGCAGATAACCATAGAACTCTTCTCCTCCATCAGGCATGGAATTTAGCCTCCTTTATTTCCTGCAGTGACACAGGAGCCTCCAAATACCAAATTATTATCAGGCGGTCTTGGGGGAACCTCTGGGCCCTGCAATAAAGTAGACAAACTTGCTATTGGAAAGTGCCCAGGAGCAATTCAGCCCTGTTCAGATTGTTCTAAAATCCTGTAAACCATCTCTGGATTTTGTAAATGAAAACCTCACATAGATGCTAATAGTGAGAAGGTACTTTGGGCATAAAATTTATGACCATCCTGTGTGTAAATAATCTTGAGCAATCATTTAAGGAAATCTGGTTTGAGTATGTTCTTTCTTGGTCTGTTCTTCTGTATTTGAAGTTAAGCTGTGCAAGTATGGAGGCTGTGTGATTTTGGACAAGCCACTTCTGAGCATTGTAATATAAGGTGTTTGTATTAATTGATCACAAAGGTCAAACAGGTGTGAACTATGGACCAAATTTAACTCATCCTATCAAAGTGCATCGTCACTATATGATAATATCTTTCACCACTGGCCCCCCAGTGACAACCCTGAGGGCAAGGAGCACACCATCATTATCCCTGAGTCTCTAGTTTCTAGCATTGTAGGAATATTGTGGGAAAATCAGTAGATATTTAGTAAGTGTCATCCTCTATATATTGGATTCTTACAGTTAGTTGAAGTGAGACCAAGGTCACTCTTTGTAAGAACATGGATATATTATGAAGGTTGACAACTGTTAATTGCGTGTAACTTGAGAAAAGAGAATTAAATATACAGGTGTGTGGTCCAAAGCTCTGATAGGTCCAGAGGTTGGTGGCAAATTGTACATGTGATATTTTTCTTTAAGCAAATGGGTAAAGCCCTAAAGTCTGTCTTGATCTTCTTAAATCTGTTTTCAGATATAATCTGAGCAACTTATTGTAAGAACCCTTCCTTAGATGTTCTTCACAGGTTTGTAAAAATACTCAATGGGGATCACTTAATTGAAAGTTAAACTCCCAAAATGTTATGGTCCTATAGCAACATATCCTTCTGAATGTCATATCTATGCATTTAAAATACTTTAACTTCTGAATAACTGCAATTAGCATATTCAAATAATCGATTTTTTGTTAAAGGATTATTTCTGCTAAGAGCACTGTCAAAATATTCTAATTGGTTAGTATATCTTTAAAAACTCTAATAAGTAAATGAGGATGTAGGCAAGTTTAATAGTTATAGAGTCAATGAAAAAACTATGAGTCATCTTGTTATAAGTTTGTTATCAGCTCATTTTTCAATAATATATTGTCGAATGTGGTCAATTTCATATATGATCAACTTCAGGCCAGCATCGAAGCTAAATCATATCCATGCTGTGAAAGAGTAGTTCACAGAGTTTCTGCTCCCTAGGAGCTTACAATCTAATCTAAAAAAAGACGACTAAACACATACACAAGAGTGATCACATTTAGGACCTGACAAAAGGCAACAGATACATTGAAGATGAAGGAAAAAATATAGCACAAAGAATGGTATTTAAGAAAGGGTAAAGGGAAGACAAGAAGTAAATTGCTTCTTCATTCCCATTCCTTGAAAAAGCATTCATGGAAGATGTATGATTTTCATTATTAAAATAATTAAAGAGTATATGGTTTGATGCCTAGAAGAAATGAAAATTTCAACTAACAAAGATGCTGAGTTACTGATAACACTGTGTCAGGTAAGGACTGCTGGTTGAAGGCCCAACAAAACTTTATAAGGAAGAAACTGTCAAATAGTCAGAAGCTGAGCAGATGCTACAGGCATCCTCAACTCCCTTCTAATCCTTCCAAGTGGGGATGGAACAGATTGAGCCACAAAACAAGACTCCTCCAAAATATTCAAAATGTCTGACCCAACACCTTTGCAAAAGTCTCCATGGAATTGGAATCTAGATTAAGAAAATGGTCTTTGGAAGCTTCCTTGTGGAATCTGTGAGGGAAGAAAGCCCCTCCAGATGGAGACACTCACAGCTGTCTGGTTCACTTTTCTCCATAAGATATCCTTACTTGTTTGTTTGCTTTCTTGCTCATTTGTTCATTTTCTCTGTGCGCTTGTTGGACTGATGCTATTTACTTGATTATTAAGCTTTATCTTTCCTCCATTGACAAAGAAAAGCAAATTTTTGAGGACAGGATGATTTTAGTGAACTTAATTATATTACAGCCCAAGGCTCACCAAATCACATTATACAGTCTAGTACTGGTGAGTCAGAGGTGTCAAAGTACTCTATTCCTATATAAAACAATCAAATTGTTGACAGATTTTCCCATCACAGTATGTTACTTTGCCTTATTCAATATTTTACTATTATTCATGCAAATCATTTCAAGTACCTTCGAAAGAGTCTTAACAAAGAATGTACATGTTAAGCAAAGCCACCACACATCTTGTTCACAGCATAATGACAACATTAGATTAATGTTAATTCAAGAAACTCAGTAGTCTTCATTATTCTATTCTATTTGTCTTGTCATATTCCATTTTCAACTGAAATCTACAGTGTGGTCTACTTTCTCACATTACAAGCTTATGATACGGTTCTTGTTAACATTTAAACTCAAATTCAATGTTAAATCTACCTTGCAACAAATTTGAATGAATCAGAGAAAATCGCAGGTGTTTCCTTATAGATAAATATACTCATTGTTAAACACCTTTGTCCTATGGGAGTTCTCAATGGAAAATCAATGGAAAGTCCCCAAAGTCTAACCTTGCAATCATGCTACCTTACCTCTGAGGCAGGGGTGAAAAACAATATTTAAGATGGGGTAAGAAATGCAAACAGACAGAAGGTACCCATTCATCAATGCCAGGAAATCCCTAGAATCTGGGCCACCTGATGTTTTAACCTTCCCGGTTGTTTGTTCATGTGTGAGGGAAGGTTTGATGTTCTAATGGCATATCAATATTTGTCTACAGTGATTTTATTTTTTGTTGTTGTCTGCAAGGCTGTGTTCCATTAGAGAGAGAGAGAGAGAGAGAGAGCTAGCTATATATATCTGGGTAGTGACTCAGAAGAGAGGGTGAGAGTTTATGAGAAAAATTCCAAGCTCCCCAAGAGAGGTTAATGGGTTAATTTGGTTCTGAGAAATATACGTTATCAGACTTAGCATGCACATCTTCCGTTGTGATGTCTCGTCCCTGTTACAGCAGCACAGGTTTCATGCTGGGAAGTAGAAGTGAACAGAGAACACAGAGCTACATGATCTGATACCCCTTGTGTGCAACATATCACCTTCCATCATCACTGCTGGTGTGTGTAACGACTTTAAAATTTAAATCGCATCAATTTCTTGCCTTTTGTAACTGAGGTATGTGGCTTTTAATAACACTTTAGTTTCTGTCTCCATTTCAACATTAACATGCCTTGATTCCAACTTCATGTTAACAGATAGTTTTGGAAAATGGATCCCAAGAGAAGTCAGTATCTACCATGGTTCCAGTCCCAACTGGAAACAGATCCTGATAATTCCATAAGCAAAAAACTATTCCACGGGCCCAAAGTACCAAGAATCTTCCAACATTTCACTGCACCCTCCTCAGTCATCCTTTTCTGGGACTCTGATAAACACACTGTTGATACAGCTATGCAACAAATGGGAAATAAGTGTAAGCAGCTGTACTTACATGTGTCTGGCTTGAGCTGACTGTTGGTGATGCCAAAATACTGGGGATTTTCAATAACAGGGATCTTGGTCATTCCAATTATGACGGCATCAGGGCCGCCCTCTGAAGACGATGGAGTGTTACTCCCATTGGAGATGTGGTGGAGTGGACTGGCAGAGTCATCATCATTGCTGATAACTGAAGCTGGCCCTGGAGTTGGAAAAAACACATATTCTCCTGTAATTTTTCAATACCTCAATTGAGCTATAAATCCACTCATTTAAAGTATACAATTCAGTGGGTTTTAATATATTCAGGGAGTGTCACAACCATCCCTATAATCCAATTTTAGGGTATTTTCATCACTCCCCATTGCCCCATTCTTCCCACCCACAGCCCTAGGTTTCCACAAATTTACTTTCCATCTTTATTTGTTCTATTCTGGACAATTCACATAAATGGAATCATAACATATGTGATCTTCAGGGAAAGGTTTCTTTTAATGTTATGTTTTTAAGTTTCATTCACTTTACGCATGCGTCATTATTCATTTTTATTGTCAGGTAACTTTCCTATCCATGGATAGGCCACATTTTGTTTATCTGTTTATCCAATGTCTGCAGGACATTGGATGGTTTCAGATTTGGGACTACTGTACAGAGTGTAGCTGTTAGCATTCATGTACAAGTTTTTTGTGGACATACATTTTCATTTCTCTGGGTGGAATTGCTGGGTCATTTGGTAGCTCTATGTTGAAGATTTTCTACCAAACCGTTTTTCAGAGAGACTGTTCCATTTTATAGTCCCACCAGCAATGTGTGAAGCTTCCAATTTATTTACTTCCTTCTATTGTAATTTAATATGCAGCCTTCCTCTCCATTCCCTGAGCATCTTCAGAAGACTCTCTCACTGAAACTCCAGGCAAGAATGTAGAACTCCTGTTTCACAGTGAGGTACTGAGAATTCAAAGATCTAAGTTCCTTTCTCCACTCTTTGGACAGTCACTCACCTTCTTGGTGCCTCTACATTCACTCATTTTGTAAATGTGCAAAATGGTACATTCCTATTATTTTATGAGGCTGAAATGACACTACCGATATAAAAAGGTTGTGCAAATTTAAATGTGTTTATTGAGCATAAATTGCTAGAGGAATTACTAAATGAACTTACAACCTGGTAGGCTACAATGACAATGGACTCCCCCATTACTCTCTTCCTTTTCCCCCCTGTATATTCTGTCAACATCTGGACTACTTTTGCCTACAAAATATTTTCATAATATAACAGTGCTATTCCAGTTACCTATTTTTGCCTTTAACTGTATCTTTATTTGCAGAGTCATTACATTATTGGTAAATGTCTTTATACTAAAGTAATAACCATAGTATTTTCATAAAAGATTTATACTTTCTAGTCTCTGAATGGATGTGCTCAGAAACACAGCCAACTCTGTCTTGTCTAAACACGTATTCCATTGACCACTAACTAACGCTGTTCATGACCAAAACTACATTCACAAAGATAAAGATTTACATGAAAGATTCAAGACAGTCAAGCTATCGGGGGTTTATTTCCATACAATAATGAGACAAAGTCCCCTAGAGGTATGTTACATATATTTCTGCAGTGCACCAAATGAGTGCAGAGTCCCATGGTATCAGATCACTGATCACAGCCACTGGCATAAGTCCAGAAGAAAATAAGAAGGAAAGGAAGAGAAAGAGGCAGTGATAAGGCAGAGTGGATCACCCAGTTAGTACAAATGCAATATGAATCACTACTTCCTGAGCAAGGAATTGCATCCAATCTCCAAGACGCAAGCATCAATACCTCCACTCATTCACTCCCTTTTCCCTCACACTTAACTATTTCAATAAGAAACACAGTAATTCTGAAAACCAAAGTTGTGGTGTCAAATGAAATTGCAATCCATCCCACACCCCCCAAGATCCATTTCCCCTGGTACAGGGATTGCCACCATTTGTAATAACAACTGGACATTCCCTAGCCAGTTGGAATTTAAACAAACTATGCAGGAGGCAGCCAACTGCTATTATAGGTAATTTTTAAAAGCATTCTCTCAAGGGGATGTGCATTTAAGTTGCCTTTAATGATACACTGTGGCTTAATTCTGCAAACAAGTCCTCACACAGCCAATTTAGAAGCCACAGAACACTCAAAGCAAAGGCAAACTTACCCGCCAATTGTGCTCATCTTGTGCCTTGTGCTCATCTAGCTTGCCAGTGTTAGCTGAGAGTGGAGTTCTACCAAGAAGAACTATCAAGTCCTTTCTAATATCCTTGACTACCCCTGTTTTTTGATTTTCTACCTGACAGGTCTAGATCACCCAGAACTTAAGCCTAGAGATGGACAATGCTTACGCCTATGCTAAGGTCTCTGTCGTGTCGATGAAACCTTCCCACCATGCTCCCTCAGCCCTTCTTGGCACAGCTGACCCCTCCTTTAGGGTTCCCAAAGCACACTGCCACCTGAACTCCCCAAAGGGGTACAATCAGGGCCGCACATTTCTCAACAGATTCTAGGTTGCACATTTGTCCCCAGAAATGCAGGCGTTTTCATGTTCAAATACTCAATATGCTGTCAGTAGACCAGGATATTTGCTCCCCAAGCCCCAATAATGATCAGAAAAACACCAATCCCAATTGCTCTCTGGTTCACCTTTGGTGCAGGTGGCTATCAACATTCTTGCAGCCTTCAATCCTTTTGGAGGAGGCTGATGCCTGGAAAACAATGTTGAGATTCCTCTTAGTAATTCAGGCTCTGAATCACCTCTCATGTACACAGTGGAGCCCATACTCAAAGACTTCCAAAGGACTGGATCTTTGTTTCCTTTTTTTTTTTTTTTAAAGATTTATTTATTTATGCATACAAGAACTGGGGTACAGGCCAGAGGAGTGTGTGTTGGGGGTGGTGAGAGGATTCACCAGAGACAGAGTGGGGAACAGAACAGGCAGACTGACTGAAATAAAAATCAGGGGAGAAGCGGGTGAGTCAGGGGAGGTCTACTGCGCCATGGTGGTCACCTCCCTGGCCAGGGATCAAACTCATGCTGCAGTGGCTGCGTGTAGCTTCATAGTGCTTAACCCCTTGCGCCACCAGGGAGCCCCCTGGATCTTTGTTTCTTGTCCACCACCAAAGATACCCTTTCCTTCTCCTGGTCTCTCTGAGTAAAACCCCCAGCTCGGGTCACAGATTACAGGGGAATAGGATCTCTGTTTTGGTGGAGAAATATTTTAACCTAGCAGTGCAATAAAGCACCCAGAGTCATTTTTCAAAAGCCTTTTCGCTTTGCCAGCAGGTTGCTGCTGACACATCTGAGCAACATATAAATCTCAACAATTTATCAAGTGGATTATTAATTCAAGTGCTGTTTTCTTCGTTATTGATATTTCAAATCCTGGAAGACTGATATGGCTGGCAAGGATGCAGAGAGGCAGCCCATTTTTCTAGGAACATTTTGATCTAAGGGAGAGTACAGCAAAGTTGGGAAGGGGGAGAAGCTTCCAGCAGGGACAATGAATGTCAATATAATTTGACAGCAGCCTGTCTGTGACTGTCACTGGAGTTGTCTTTGTGTGTCTGTGCACGTGCTTGAGGAGACACCAGGAAAAGACAGACAGAAGAGAAAAATCGGGGCACATCATAGTGTGTTATAAGAAATTGATCTGAGGACTTGGAAAACTTTATTATAATATTAATGAAAAGTTTCAAATTGCTGGGTATGTGTACACTTGCTGAGTTTGGGGTAGATACCTGGAACATTTTTAGCCCATTTTTATTTTAAAAAGTCTCAGGTGCAAAGAGGCATATTTCTTTGATCAGAGCCGCTCAGAATGTAGCCTGTACAACTTTGCAGACCTCTCCCAGCCTATCTTCACCTTATAAGAATGGCTGTAGGTCATCTGAGAAAAGACTTTCCTTCTCTTCAAGACCAACAATGCTTTCAAGATGAGGGGAAAGGATACTGTTCTTGAGCAACTGTGTATCGTACTCTGTATCTGATGCGTCCACACCTGCGACCTTGCTGACCGGAGGAGGGACCGTCCTCTTTAGAGTCAGCCAGCTCTGAAGATGATGTAAAATGTGCAGCAACTGAGCACCTTTCATATACAGACCCACGCGCAATCTACAGCCCCAAACACACTTCTTATTAGGCTTGATGCTCCAGGTACTATCCACCTGCCCCATCACCACATGGCCAGGTTCTGGACAGCTGAGGGGCAGCCCTGCAGCACGGCCCCTGAGCCACTCAGCCCAGCCAGTCCCAAACCAGTGTACGCTGCCCTCTGATCCCTTTTAGAGTTGAAAGACAGTTTATCACCCAACTCTTCCCCCTGCTCTCACACACCAAGCACAAAGTCTTAAAACAGGGCACTTTCAAGATGGCACAGGAAGGACAATTTCTCTGGTAACTTGGCAAAGTAACTATGATGAGTCATATTTGAAATTTGCCCCTAGGGGTTGGGGACAAGGCCTAAGCTTCTTGTTTCAGCTTCACCACATCCCCCTTTCTCCTGCTTCTTCTTTGTTTCTCCTTTGCTGATTAAGAGCTTTCACCCTGGAATTCAGGGGGCTAGTTCAGAGCAAGGTGGCTTCCCCTTCAGGCCCTGTCTGGCCCAGTCTGCCCCAGCCTGCCACCCTGAAGTTCAGCTCCTCGTCATTTTCAGATCACTGGACAGACGTTGATAGAAGCTGTCCAATAGGAAAGGTCTGATGTTGGTTCAAAAAGGGAAAGAAATAGGGTTTCCTTGTGTAGCGGGGACGAACAGCTGTGTGTCAGACCCTGACACCCACACACATCTCCTGCTTTTCAATTTACCTATTGCTACCAATCAAGAGATGCCCAAGATGCCCAGATCTGAGAAACACATGCAATATGTAATGCAGTCTTGTCTTTTCATGCCTTCTAAGTAATTTCTGCCCATTGTCTGTGTACCCATAGAAAATACTGCACAAATTGGAGGTCCCGGGAGATCACACCTGATTTCAATCCTAGTGATGAGATACATTATCTACACACATTTGGTAGCTACAAACTCTGCTTTCCAATCGTCAGCACACAGTCTGAATGGAGGGAATAGAATGCAATCAAGCACAAATCATAGTGTCTGGACATTAGAGTCTTGTTATGAAAGAGAAATGGACATAAATGAACACTGATTTACCAATTGAGAAATTTATTATATCTT